TAGATAGTTTTATTTTGAAATGGATGGAGTTGTGCTAGAGTAGACTAGATCAATAACATCAAACTTTTAAAAGCTAAAAAATTCAGATGGGAAAATAGTAAAAAAATTTTAAAATATAAAAAAATAAAGCATTTTTATTCTACATCAAAATTTATTTAAATATTTTATAGAATAAACATTGTTTTTGCTATAATATTTCAAAAATTCTTATATAAATATATGTTTAGTAAAGTAAATTTGTATAATTTACTTTTACAGTAATTATTATATTAAACAGGTTGAACGAATAAATATATTGTATTGTTTTCTTGTTTGCTTACTTATTTATTATTTCGGAGCATATTTATTAAGTTTTGAATATCTTATATTTACAACTTAATCTTTTTAAAATATATACATTTTTGATATTATTTTATTATATTAAAAAACTAATTTTAATTATGTTTTTCGTTTTTTAAACATCTCTAGTTGTCTAATTTTAATTAATTAAATAAATGAATATGTCACATTTAAACTGGCATTTAATGCGCCAAGAAAATTTTTACAAATATAAATGATTGCGCTTTAAATAGTAATAGGTTATATAAAATCTAAGAGTAATCTATCACATTTAATTATTTATTAAATGAAATATTAAATTTCAGTTTGATGTTATATTTTATACAAAAATAAATCATTTTACTTGTGTCAATTCTATTTAATATCAGTTAATAATAACTGCCAAACAGTTTTCACGTGGGCAACGCAACATTGAACTGTAATACATAAATTATTATTCCGTTTAATTATTTATAAAATTATTAAAACTCTCATTGCTAACTTATAAAACGCAGTCATTTTTTTTATAGTGATGGCAATTATTTTTATTTCTATACCAGTTCCACCTTATGTGTTTATATTCGGAAGTTCGCCAATTATCATCACATCCAGTTTCTGCCGTTATTTATTTGTTCAATATCATCTCCTTTACTATATTAATTGCTACTATTAGTTTGCTCTTGCTTATTTTTCTTTCTTGACTCAATCATTTTTCTCTCTTTTTTCCCTCTAGCTTCCTACCTCATGTAGCTTTTTCATTATATCTTCTCTTTTCACAATTTAAATTTATTTTTTTTATATAATAATGACTGACAGTCGTCCAAAAAGTATAAAACGAAGTAAATAATATTTTTAATATTTCAACTTGAAAGAGGGAGAAATATTTTGTTTATAGTGCATATAAACAATCGTAAATTGCTTTAATTTTTTTCTTAAATCAGAAAATTCTTTGATTTCTCTGCGTTAATGTAACATTGTGAGTTTAAAATAAAGCAAACGTTTTATTATGAAACAGTATTAACAGCATTCATGCATCAATTTTTTAATTTTTCTGTTAAGTAGCTTGTTTTAAAGATGTGAAACTGTTCAAAATTGAAATGTTTCCTTCCTGAAGTTTACATTTTCCAGCTGTCCAATTATAGGATCGTTTTACGACTTTGTTTATGTGCATTATGTTATCGAATAAGAAGACAAAAAGACGAGTAAAATTTTTTGTTCAGTTTACAGATTTTTCAACCATTTAGTAACTTAAGAAAAGCCTATAATTTGACCAAAATATTTAATATAATGTTATAATTTATTCGATTTGTAATCAATGAGACTAATCATAAAAATCAACTAATTAACCAGAGTTTTTTTTGAATGACAGATTCACTTATTTATATCGTCAAGCAAATAATTATAACAACAATCACTTGACGATTTATCATCAATCTAAAAACATATGATTTTTATAAAACATTCCATTTATAGATGGCACTACACTACTGTACATTATTTTGCAGACTGTGTTTCACATGTTTACTACCAAATGGTGTTTTATTTTTAAGTATTTACAATTTTTCAAAACAGGAAATTTTTTTTTTGATACAAACTGTTTGAGTTTGTTTTGATCAAAATGTACAGAACAAAATGGCTGTTCATGTAGCATTACTCACGGAAATGAATTATGTAAGTGAAAAATTTTATCTGTGATCAAATTGTAGAAAATTAAAAATAAAATTATGCCTTGCCTTATGTCGGTAATTGATTCCAGGAGAGGCAAAGTCAAATTTACTTGTCTCCCAATCTACTTGAGACTAGGCTAAACCATAAATTACCATTCCCAGTTCTGTATTTTATTTATTAATGTATTTTTTATAATATACGGTTAATAANTTTTTATGCTAGCAAAAAGAAACTTTACTACCGTAAATGACGAAAAGTAGCATATATACGTAAATTTTTTTGTGTGTGTATGATAATAGCTGGAGTTTTTGCAAATTTTTAAATGATATAAATGGAATGACCTTGAATGAGTGAAGTTTGCAGTGACAGTTGTCAAACAGTGAACAGTGAAACGTCATGACTAAAAGGGATTTTTTTCAGACATATAAACCGAAATGTTATGTCCTTCAAATCCGGCATTCACCCAAGTTCAAGAATTACTCAGAAGATGATTAATTACAACAGAGCATACACCAATATTTCAGACACTAAGAATTCTGATCCAAAATGCATTTAAATAACATATCTGAGAATTAATCATCATCTGAGTAATTCTTGAACTTGGGTGAATGTTGGATTTGAAAGACATAACATTTCATTTATTTGTCCAAAAGAAACCCTTTTAATTGGTTATGAAAGTGAAAGATTATAATTTATTCTCAGTCTTGGTCAACCGTTTCCAGGTGAATGTGAATAGGCATTCCAGAATATCTGCGTAAGCAGTAATGCCATCTATCACAAAGTGGAAATTTGGAACATACACAATACCAACATATAAGTTTAATGTCATTAGAAATTTCTCATTGTACAGTGGTTTTTCAGACACACTGTACAATTATATGTAATTGTAAATTTGCTTTGGATGATCATTTTATTATTTTAGAAAACAAATAGCATTGATAAAAAAAAATCCAGGATGACAAGAAAAATAAATTAAAAATAACCTTACATTTTCTCTCTTTTCACATCTCAGGAATAGACTCTTGGTGGAGTCAACATTTATTGTGGACTTTGTTGTATTCCTAAAATGTGAAAAGAGATGAATTGTGAAGACACTTTTAATTTATTCTAGTGTGTCTTCTATTTTTATGAATTTTAAATAGAGAAAAAGGTAGTGATTTAGTGTAGAAATAATAGTTTACATTGTCTGCACATTGAAGAAATTAATCTATGAGGTGTGTTGTATGTTTTTTAATAAAATAATTACATGCTTTTAGAACTGTAAAACTTATTCATAAGTGAAAATAAATTATACAAATTGAAATAATCAGTTTAGAAAACAATTTGAATAAATCTAACAATGAAAATTGAAAGTATTGTGAGTTGTTTAAGATTATAATTGTCTGCAGTCTCAAAGAAAAATAATACTAGAGTTGATTAGACCGACCAATCTAATTGAATATGTAGATTGACAGAAGTAGTTGTAATAATGACTGCCAGTCAGTGGCCACATTCTACACTAATCAGAATTAGTTATTATTAGATATTTTCACAAAACATAATTGAAGCCATCAATTTGTAAAGGGTCGACATCTGGAAAATCTAATTTTTCAGAACCAGCAAAAATCTGAATTGTATGAGTGTGACAAAAGAAACAGTCTTTGTTATTGGTGAAACAATAGATTACGCTTAGTTTGTTCACTTACCGACAGTGACAATGGCATTTTTTGTTGTGGTTTTTATAGTAATGGAGAACAAAGGCCTTGGATTTCAACCTGTTTTGAATTGGGCAAGTAAGAGAGAAATTATTTGTTGCAAATTAAAATTATTTCTATTAAATATTTGATGTATTTTCATTTCATATGCAGACAACTTTCTAACATTATACATCTTTTGATTTTTTTATTATGTCTATTGATTTATATTCTTTGTTATTTGTATTTTAATCTTTTATTATGGGTGTTATTTTTGAGGGAGGATATTGATTGTTGTATGACATTTCCTCTTGTATATGAAATAAATAAATAAATTATTCCAAATACTTGAAAAACTTGTAAACAAAATATGCAAGGAAGGCTAGAGATCGCATTGTTTTTTGCTTACTCTCCTTCTAGTGAAGAGTAAGAAATATGGATCTTGTTGATTTGTCTTGGAATTTTGGCATGCTGCTACATAGCAAGGAATGGGAATTTTTAACTGTTTTGGACATTGCACAATACAGCTTGTCTTATAGACTCAATTTCAGTCATAAAGTGAATACCAATAAAATGTGGTCTTTGGCCTTTTTGCTTTCCTGGCTATTATAACATGGCATGGGTTATTTTTTTAATAGCTCAGTAAAATAAAGATTAAGAAACTGAATTTGGCTTTGTGGCTTGTATGTGATGCTATTAAATTTTGGTGATAAAAGGTCAAGAGGGTGGGCAAATAGAGGGGGTGATGTATCTTGAGAGGGATAGGACTTAATGAAGATTTTATTTGTTATTAACATTTGCACATTTTTATAAAACTCATCTCTACCCTCAAAATTAAGCTTTCTGCCATTTTATAGTAATTAAAAATATATATAATTTTTTATAACAAAATCTGATAACAGATTGTGCCCCACACAATTTTAACTTTGTGCTAATGTCTTAGTGTTGCTTAAACATACATTTCTTTTTCCAGGAAAGTTATGCAACTAGTTGCCAGAGTTTTTTTTGAATGACAGATTCACTTATTATTATTTATTTATTTGCTATTTTGCATCAAAGTATTGCTTCAGTTTATTTCAGTGATCAGTATACAGTGGGATGTCCAAAGAAAACTTTAATTGGTTCCCACCAGCCAACTAAACCAATTCAACCACAAGTATTTAACCTGCCAATTCTTAGATGTCGATCAGTTTGTCAGTTGACAGATTGTAGTTATTAAGGAAACATCATAGAATTGGTGTGGTTAGCTCTAGTGTGAATTTGTTTTGAGTCTTTTGATTGTATCATATTTGTCAATTCTTCATACAACAACTTTGTAATAAAAAGTTGAATTAAACAATTTAATGTAAGTTTGTAATAACTGCGTGTAATTTTGTAGATTTTTCACGGAGCAGATATGGACGTCCAGTGGTTACAGCGTGATTTTGGTGTATACGTGGTCAATCTGTTCGACAGTCACCAAGCCTCACGACTTCTTAATTTTCCGCACAATTCTCTAGCTTATTTGTTGAAGCATTATTGTGGAATAGAAGCAAAAAAGGAATATCAACTGGCAGATTGGCGAATCAGGTAAAAATTATTGTGTGAATTCTGTAGTTTGATAAAATTGCGTGATTTAGTTGTAACAATTTAAAAATATTTATTTTTTTGTGCTTTGCCTATTAATGTGTAGTTTTGATGATAATACAATTATCATCAAAACTATAAAAATAATTAAATAGAAAAAGTATTACTGAATAACTTTTTATTAAACATTTATTGTACATTAATTATCAATTACACATCTAAAATTAATCAAACGAGAGTATATGAAATAAAATTTTGACAAAGATAATTTACTATTAGATGAAAGTAATATATACAAATGTGCCTCTTTACAGCAATAATCTACATCAATATAAAGATGATAATGGTCCTCCTCTTCCTCCCCTACCTATTTTCTGCTGAATTTGTCAAACCTTCCTATTAGGTCATAATGCCTCACTGTCAATTTGAACAAATTAGATTTTTAAGGTTTAATGGTAAAGAATTCTAGAAACATGCTTGGGGACAGACATTTTTGTATCTTTGACAGGTTTCTATATATATGAAGCTACAATATTATTGACTCATGACTCCTACATAATGCAGTTCTTGGAGTGTATTGGATAATCCAATGGCCAGCCACCTAGGCTATGCTTATATGATTACAGATATCAACATTATTACTGGAAGGGGATAAATTGACATGTGAAATATATATTCAAGAATGTTTTTATTTTGTGTTCGGTCAGTGAGTTGATCATTATTGCTATGGATTACTTTAGTCGTGTAATGTAATAACTCGAGTCAAAGCCATAGCTAAGACTCAAGTAATTGAATCAAATGGCTCAAATCTATGACAAACAACAACAGGATGCTTACTATCATTGTCGGGTGTTGTAGAGACTAGATGACAGTACAGAGTAACGAGGCACTCGTTAAGTTAAAAAATCCCAACTTTGAATTAGAGTTTCAAGCTAACAGGTTTAGTATCTGATTCTCACAAATTTTTCTGGGGCCATAAATATCCTGTTGTCGAGCCATTTCTCGAGAATTGTTCAATGCACTCAACGTGCCATGTACCAGAAAAGGAAAATGAGAAAAGGCTATGCTGATTATTTAAAAAAACTACATTCAAATGAGAATGCTCATAATAATAATCTGTTTGAAGTGCTCCTGACAAATATTATATTACATTTTGAAATAACAATAGTTTTTAAGAAATTTGATAATGTTAAATTTATTTACATTTAAATCCAAAATATCTTTTATCATCATTAGGCCTCTTCCCGAAGAACTAATTCGATATGCAAGGGAGGACACGCACTACTTGCTCTACATCTACGACATGGAAAGAAATGAACTGATCGGTAAAGGAAATGAACAACAGAACCTCTTGCTTTCTGTGTATCAGAGAAGCAAATTAGTTTGTCTTAAAGTAAGTATTAAATATTTTAATAAACAAGAATTTGCATAATTTTAAATAGAAGTTTACAGAAGTGAGACAGAGATTAAATATTACATAATAAAGGACTATTATCAGTTTGCAATAAGTTAATCATTTGTGCAGAATTGAATGGAAAAAAATGTGGTCTATATAATACCAAGACAAATATCAAATTTTTTGTTAAATGGAGGAAAGTAGCCAGTCATTCTGTGAAACTAGCTGTCTTCATTTATTTAAAAATATGTGGATTATATTTGCATTTCTCCACATCTCTAACAGCTAAATATGCTTCAGTTTGCCATAGAAAGTCCTCTCTGGAGTCATTGCCCATGTCAAACTGTATGAATTTAAGAATAATTTTTAGATCAAAAGTTTATAATTTTAATAATCAGATTGATCCATTAGTACACTAGTTTCACTTATTTTGAATATAGAATAAAATAAATCACTTATAAAAATATTTTTCATCAACAATAATGATAGATCAGTAGTATATAGAAAAATCTGGAAATTAAATCCAAGATGATGTGTATAATGTCAGATAAGTCATTGGTTTGATAGCTGAAGATGTTAAGAGAGAGAGAAGAAATCATTGCATATTTCTTATTTAGTCTTTATAAAATCTTTATACATAATTATTTAATTTGAAAGTATTCGTGTAAAAATTAATCTTATAATTTTATATATAATTTATTACTTATAGTATTATTTAATATTGTTGACTTTGTTTTAACAGAAATATGAGAAACCACATTTTGATGAAAACAGCTACTTGTTGCTGTACAAAAAAGGAAAGAAAACTTTTAACATACAGCAGTTGAATGCTTTCAAGAACCTGTTTGCATGGAGGGACAAGGTGGCTCGTCAAGAAGATGAAAGTTGGGGGTAAATTTTAATATAATTTGCTTGTTGCGGAAGTTAAAGCAGAAAATACAAACTGCCACTGATTATTTAACTGATAACGATTACCGATTGCCAATTGCCAATTTTTTAATATTTGTTGAGTAAATGTAACATTAATTATGTCTAATATCATTATTTAAGTGTGGAGATACAAAGTGAGTGTAACACGACAAACTCGATTCCGATAAAACATTGACTTTTTTCATTTTGCATATGCTACGTGATGTAGCTTAGCACAATTAGATCATCTTAAATGAAATCTAACTGTATAAATGATAATACATTATGCTTGGAGTATGCTTGCATTGTGTAAGATTATTAGTTACAGCAAGATTTCCTTTGGTGACAATTATTGGGAATTTATAAAATAAATTTTACATAATTATGTGGTAAACTCGGTATCTGTATTTATCCTGAACTGGTTGCGACATCATTCTCTTTAATGTCGGTCAATCCCATCAAAAATTTGGTGTAACGATGATGGATATAATTGATCTTGGCTTTTGTATGCTAAAATATATTAAAGAACAAGAAACAGAATTCAAATCCCAGTTCTCGTCTAAAATGTTTTTATATGCGAGTTGTGAATTCAGAGTCTGTTGTGGATACACTATATTAGTTTGAATTAATAAATAAGTTTGGAAGGGACCAACTCTAGAAGCATAGTTTCAGATGAGTGATCTAGAGTTTCAGATGTTGATCTTGTATGTTAGGCAAGAGTTGTAAATTTGAATTAACTTTCTAAAATTTCTAAATTAATTTAATACATGGATGATGCACATCTAGCTACAATACAGTAGAGCGTCGTTTATCCGAATCAATTGGGGACTGGGGTTGTTCGGATAACTTATTTTTCGGATAACAGATTATGTACTAAAAAATATATTAACCTATCCCGTGTTGAAATTTTTCTCCATTGCATGTCGCTTCGCATTGAATTTTCATCGACGTTAAGCCTAATGTAAACTTTTTAAAATAATAATCGTGGCTATTGTATCGTTAAAAATTATTTCTTTATTTTTTACAAACAAAATAAATATATTGAAAAATATAAAAACAAAAAAATATATACTTTAGAAGTTAATCTAGTATCAAAAATGTTTGATTCAGCACGACACACAGTCCTCAGAAAAACACGACACAAAAGTGCCAGTGCTGCCAGCTAAAACACACACATCAACAAAAAAAAATATTGGAGTAGCCAAAGATTGCAGCACCACAGCACTAGCGAAAATTTAAATTTGCCGACTGGAATTCTTTCGGATAAACGACGCTCTACTGTACTAAGTTGTTGCAATTGTTAATTAAACTTCAGTGCTAATTAATAATGGGGTATATATATTTGTTGGGTTGGGTAATTTAGTTTTATATATTTATTGGGTAAATATACCTTTAAACGTATTATTTTATTTAAAGCTAAAATTTAATAATATATATATTTATTGTTTAGATATGTTTTGCCCAATCATATGCTTTTCCAAATTGCCGAAGTGTTACCCAGGTACAATATTTAATGCTTTGTAACATCTATTTATAAAAGTTTATAATCATAGAGATAAAAAATTATTATTTTGTTAATAGAGAACAACAGGGTTTGATGGCATGCTGTCACCCAGTGCCGCCTTTACTCCGACAGTACTTGAACGAAGTTCATAAAATAATTCTGGAAGCTAGAGAGCTATCTTTAACACAGGTTTGAAAATTATATTTTGCTTGCATTAACAAATGATTTAATTCTTTACAACGTTTGACTATGTGATCAGTTAAGTTCAGTTTAATCCGAAAGGCAAAAAAGAAAAACTACATAAAAAAGTACCTTTATTAAAATATAATAAGGCTAATATGCTAAAGCAGCATTATAATTGCCCCACTCTTTATTCTTAAAATGATAAAAATTCCAAAGATTAATGCTAAATAAAATTATTTTCTTACATAGCCTGTATCTGAAATAACAAAGCTGTGAGGTTCTGGACAGGTCCAAACCCTCACTAAAATTCATATTTTTTTTTAAGAAAAAAAAAGCTAAAAATCATTTTCTTTTGTTTGAAAACTCAATGTGAACTTTTAAACAATAGAAGAATGTAAGTTCCAAGATAGACCATCTCTGGTTGGGATTGAGTTAAACTTTGATTTTGACCTCTCCCACGATCCAAGTTGAGATCTCATTACAGTTAGTAACAAGTGCTTGACCTCTTGGAAAGCGAAAACGAGGAAAAGTCACCAATCAGAATGGGTGATCGAGGATAGAAATGAATAAAAACCTGGGAATTCAAAAATACGGTGGCTTCTTCTTCTCCCTAAAGCACCAAGTGTTAGACCAATTGTTGCATGTGTGTCTCGTGCCCGTCTTAGTCTCCCATCCTCGGATCATCTTCACATCACTAAAAGTCAACCGCATCATCCCAGAGTCATTGAGATGTTGCGGGAACTATCTTGGAAAGGAGAGGAAGATCCAGAGGTCGCTGCCAGCTTATAAATTCCCAGATCACGGCAATCTAACCTCCTTTCATGTCAAAGGAACAGTTGCTATTAGAAACAAACTCTAAATCCACAAGCAGAAACCTCCAAAACCATCAATTTGGTATGAGTGGTGGCAGACAATGATAAACTATTGTCCAAATGGGAGAATTAAGTGGTAAAGAATGAATTTTAGGTGTGGAGTTAGACTAGACTTTATTCTTTTGCTAGTCGTAAAGAATAAATTATAACATTTGTAAAATTTAGAAATATTTGAAAATCTCATTCCTATCTAACTGTTAGATCTAACTTAATACTTTCATAACTTAACAGTTAGATATAAATAATTAGAATTAACAGTTAATTTTTCTTGCATTTATTGCTCTTATAAGCTTCACAAGATCTACATAATTCAACAATAAATTTATTTGAGAACTTATTCATAGTTTTGCCACATTAAAATTGTTATTAATTTAAGTATTTAAATATAGTAGCAGTCAAAGGACTCCTTAAAGATTAAAATAATTTAAATAGATATGTGTAATATATTTAAACTGATTAGTGTATACTGTTCAAAATCAAAATCAAAATCATAACCACTATAAACACAAG